TCCCCTTCGCTCTCGTCTTGCTCGCACACGCCTTTGATCCTGCACGTAACGTCACGTCAAATCGCAATCAAGATGGACGCAAGCAATCTACCCGCACGTCGTACACCTCACTGGGCGCTCTATCAGAAAGAGTGTTTTCTCCTGCCTTCTCAAAAGGGTCACTTGCCACCCTTCAACACGCATCCTGTGCATCTAGAAAGCCTAGCCAAAGACAGACTCTCAGCAGGAGGTTGGTCCTACGCCCATTCGAATGCCGGCATGGATAAGACGCACGATGCCAATAGAGAGGCGTTTGATAGGTGGAAAATCGTACCTAGAATGCTCGTGGATACTACTCATCGCGACACCACCGTAGAGCTTTTTGGAAAGACACTCAGCGCTCCCATCGGCTTGAGTCCGATCGGGCTGAACAAGGTGCGTAAGCTTGTCCAGATGCTGCCCTCCACACCCCGTGATGCTGCACCACGTGCTGCCGATTACGCTGATCGTCTGCACGGTCTCGCCGACGTCATGATCATGCCAGATCTATCACCCTCTAGGCGAATTACCAGTAGCCAAAGTAGCAGGGGAATTGGGTCTACCCTATTCACTCTCCACCGCCGGTTCGCAATCCATCGAAGACTGTGCTCTGCACAACGCGCACGGTGCCTCTCTGGGACATTCGCGCTCGCTAGGCGCTCAACATGCACAAGGCTTGAAATACTATCAGCTCTACCTACCTCACGATCAGCAGCTCACCCGTTCCCTGCTGCAACGTGCTCACGAAGCGAATTACGATGCTTGCATCATGACGCTCGACACGGATCAGTTGGCTTGGAGACATGACGATGTTGCGCTCAGCAATTACGCTCCGTATAGAAGTGGCACGGGAGCAGAGATCGGACTTAGCGATCCCGTTTTCCAAAAGAGACTGCAAGAGGCTGGCATTGATGCCAAAAAGCAGCCCGAAAAGGCAGGCGAAAAGTGGATCGATACGGTGAGCAGGCGAGGCGAGGCAGAGGCAGAGGCAGGCTATTCCGCTTGCATCTACCTTCCTCCAGCTCGGGTGGGGCACGCTTCGGAGCAACACAAGACTA